TTGTGTATTATTTGTGTTATTATGTTTTTTTCAGTCTCCCATTCATAAAAGCTGCCTTACTTACACTTATTAAGACTTGTCATAGAATTGTATAAATAAATATTGTAAAAAGTCATACTTTAGCCATATTAATAAAATTATAGTCACGAAAAAAGTAATAATAAATTTAAAAATTTATCTTATTTTGCTGATTTAACTTTAAACATATAACTTATATAATGATATTGATAGATTAAATATTATGATAAATATATAATTCAATTTCAATATTTTTTGTCAAATTTTGAGTGCAGTCAAGACATACTATAAAAAACATTAAAATGTATTTTTAGCCATCGGGCATATTATTAGTTAATTAAATTAAATTTGTACACAAATAGGAATTACCTATGCATAAAAAAATATTAAACAGTTAGTTTGAAAGTATTTTAAAAATGATTTAACTAATTCTTCATCATTATTTCTAAGTTATGTGAATGTTGGGTTACATAAAATTATTGATTTCTATTTTTATAAGAAAAAAAAGTTTCCTATTCAAAGTTTAAAGTTTACAGTTTATTTGTTAATTATTTAAATAGATTCATTGAAAATACTTAAAAGTACAAAATAATATAGGTGTATATTGTTTATAAGTTAATAACCGCACAGGTGAAAAAAGATTATATTTAATAGTTTTCTATTTAAAATTTGAATTTAAATTTTATTTTTAAATGTATAGTATAAATAATATTTTTAATTCAGTTAACTACATTGAAATAAATATTGTAGAAGATATAAAMTTTTTTTAACTTAAATATACTATATACAACAATAATTTAAGGCATATTTTAAATGAGAGAAAGTTAATAATGATTATTATTATTATTTTATTTATGATGATAAAATTAAAACCACACAAGATTCAGCAGATAATCTGATAATGTAATATCAATTAAACAGACAACAGTTACGTCCAGTTAGATTGCTTTTGCTAACCTAACTTTAACCTAACCTTCTGTTGAATAACACATTATTAGATTTTTATACAAGAACTTGGGTGAATTTTGGTTCTTTGTAGTTTAAATAGTTGTAAATTGCTTAATAT